CTATGGTATCTAGAGTGGCCCCTATGAAACAGAGAGATATCTTTGATGATGTTGTCCTCAATCACCACCTGATTGATGAGATGGAAGATTCCATAGATTTAATGACACCTATGACCTAATGGCTAGACATGGCCTTTTTGTGTCCAACAATCAGGATCTGGGGGAGGGTCAAAAGAGAAAAGCTAGAATTCAGCTGTTGCAACTGGCAATGCTTTAAACTTACCCAATTTTCTAGGGGAAAGTGCAAAGACAACTGAGTAAACAATTCCTGTTTCAAGTGTAAGAAAACTGCAAACTGGGCACTTGACTTCACTAAGCCATTGCCTGGGCCCTGCTCTGAGCATCAGGTGGCCCATGTGCCTGACTCACAGCACTGGAGGGTTGACCATCTCCGCTCAGAGATGGGCTGGGTCAGCCAAACCCTTGTTTCTCCCTCTGAAGAGGCCCAAGGGAACCTACAATGCCCCTGTCCATGAACATCACCATTCCTATGAGAACCTCTGGGTAACCTTCAATATCATGGGTGAGCCAATTCAATTACTTTAATAAGTTTTGACTTCCTTCTCTGGAAAACCCTCCTCTAGATCTATAGCCATAGTTGGAGTCAAGGACACCCCTAATCAGAGATTCTTTACTCTTGCTCTGATGTGTCACTATGAAGAACAAATGTTTAATCATAAATTTCTCATTGTCCCATAGTATCTTACTCCCATGCTAGAAACAGAGTTACTAGCAAATTGGGGGCAACAGTCAAATTCTGACAAACGCCAAAACAGATTTAACTTGTTGGGACTACACCAGGTCTCCCTGACCTAGTTACCCAAGAGGTAGAATCTGCTGTGACATAATAAAATACCTGACTTAAGAAAACCCTTCTTCCTCTATGTATCAAAAAGAACTGCTTTGGATGTCTTGACCTAAAGACTAGGACATGAACTCTACCCAGTGACACACTTTTCAAAAAGTTAGAGGAAGTGGCTGCTGGATGGCCACCCTGCCAGAGGGCACTAGCAGCTACAGCTATGCTAACAGAGGAAGACTTTAGGACAGAAAGTATAAGTCCTGACTTCCTGTCAGGTCAGAACAATTCTTCAAGCCAAAGGTTATTTGTGATTAACAGGGGAATGGCTTGCCAAGTACCAGCCCATGCTCTTAGACACATCTAAGGTTATTATAAAAACTTGCACTACTCTTAATCCTGTCTCTAATGCCTACAGGCCCAGATGCTAGACACTTTTGAGAAGAAGTGATCTCCCAGACCTATGCAAACAGACAGGACATTAGCGACCTGCCTCTCCAAGACCCCGAAGTGGTGTGCTTCACTGATGGAAGTAGTTTTGTCCAAGACCAGTAAAAGGCCAGGCTGATAGCTCTTACTTGGGCATTGAAATTAGGATATCTATACAGACTCCAAATATGCCTTTCTGGTGCTACATCCACATGCAACAATCTGGAAAGAAGAAGCAAATAACGACTAACAAGAACTAGTAAGAATCATCTATAAAACACAAGCAGAAAATTTTATAAATCCTAGAGGCAGTCTATCTTCTGAAGGAGATTGCACTCATGCACGGTAAGGACACCAAGGAGATATGTCTGAAGTCTCTTTGGGAAATCAAAAGATTGAAGGGGAGGCAAGAAGAGCAGTCTTACAGTGCCTCAATACCCTAGCCTTATTCTTAGATCCTAAGGAACCATCTGGTCCATCCTCAAGTGATGCAATGACAAGTTATAAAAATCCTACATGGGAAATGGTCACTAGAACTTTCACAGAACTAAGAAGGAAGCTATTATTCAAAACCTCTAGAAGGCCCAAGGCTCTTCTTCAGAATGCAGGATTCCAGTATTGCACCAGGAGTAGATAAATAGAGTCACCAATGACCCTAATTCACCACAGCTTAAATGGGCACCTGTATTGAGTCTCTTTTTTTAAATAGATCATTTATGTGGATAAATCTATCACTCTTCAGCTTAACCTCCCTCTTTGCCATTCTGTACTTTGTCCTTCATAAGAAAGGTGGAAATCTGATCTACTCCTCATATTTGGGTTCCACATCCAACATAATAATAAAGTTACTGTCTTTCTCCCCTCAAACAGAGTGCTGAAAAGTCACTAATTCTTTTTTCATTATCCTCTAACAGGTTTTCTCTTTAACTCAGCCAGAGACACAATACAGCTGGAGAGCTCATAATACTACACAGGTAGGGTCTACAGCCGCTTCCAGCCAGAAGAAGCTATAGAAGACAAAGATCCGCATTCCCTTAGCACCCCGTAAGGAATTACACAGATATGTGTCTCTAAGGGGGAAATGAGACAGGAAGGTAGAGTGTGGTGGGCACTAGCTGGGAAGAGAGGTGTGACGAGACCCCAAAACACATGTACAGAACAGTTTCTAAAGCCCTGAACGTGGACTTCTTGTGAAAACTCAAGCAGGTTTTTGATAGAATAACCTAGACCTGATGCAGCCTGAGGAACATGTAACACTAAAAGGACAGTCCACATTGAGTTTTTGCCACTATGTTCTCTTGGATGATGAAGCCAATCTTGGTCTGTAGGGTATACTTGTTTTTCTACTTTCACTTGGCCCAAAGAGGCTCTGTGAAGCCTGTGAGGACTTCTATCACTTGTCTCTCTTTTTTTTTTTCCTTTTTTGTGATACTAGGGAAGAACATACTACTACATGCTAGTCAAGTACTCTAGCAGGCCTTTTTGCTTATTTTGAGAAAGGGTTTTGCTAAGTTGCCCAGGCTGGCCTCGAACTTGTGATCCACTTTGTGCCTCAGCCTCATGAGTAGCTGGGGTTACAGTCCCATACCATCTTCCCTGACTAACTTACCACCCATCATCTTTACCTCAGCTCCTGCCATCAGCAGTTCTGTACTCTTCAACTATATCTGTGCTTCTTTCTTTTTTTTAAGGGGTTTGTTTTATGGTCTTTTTTTTTACTTTTCTTTTTCGGTACCTGGAATCAAACTCAGGGCCTCGCATTTGCCAGGCAGGCACTGTGTCACTGAGCTACATCCCTGGCCCAACTACATCTGTATTTCTTAACTCTACATAAAAAGAATCTCCTGTGAACTTCTAAGCAAAACTCATGTCCACACTCCACCCAGAGATGATGATTGAAGTGGAATGGGGCCCACATATGGGTATGAAAGAGCTCCCTAAGGGGTAGGGTTGTGGCTCAGTGGTAGAGCACCTGGCTACCATACACAAGGGGCTGGGTCCAATCCTTAGCACCACAAAAAAAGAAACAAAAAAGAAGTTCCCCAGGCAATTTTAATGTGCAGCTAAAATTGAGGCCCTCTGATGTGAATCATTAAGCCAAAAATCTATTCATAAGTTTTCTTCCTGTTATACCTGCCTATTAACATCAACTCATTCAACTTCAAACAGAACTCTTCTATCTTGGAAACTTCATGCTCCTAAAATAGCAACTGCCTAGATCTGGGGATTTAGCTCAGTGGTGCAGCATCTGCCTAGCAAGCACAAGGTTCTGAGTTCAATCCCGGGTACCAAAAAAAAAAAGCAACTGCCTATCTTTCTGCCACACAGTGGCTTCAACTTCACTGAGCCTTCAGTCCCTCAACCCCTCTCACAGCCTTAATCCTCCACCCCATTTTGGTTTTTTTGTTGTTGTTGTTTTTTGCTTATATTAAGAGATTGAATCTAGATATACTCTATTACTGAATGACAATCCAAGCTCTTTTAAATTTTGAGAGCCTGGCTAAGTTGCCCAGGGGGCCTCAAACTTTCCATCTTTCCACTTTAGCCTCAGGTATAACTAGAGGTACAAACGTGTACAACCCCCAGCCCCACTGACTCCCCCTCCTCACCTCTTCTCCTTCATCAGCCCACACCACGTAGTACATCACCTCAGTGATTCTCAGTCAGACCCTCCACAGCCTCATCCTGCAATCTCAAATCAATAAAACCACCAGCTTTTCCTATTCGCACACAGGGCTGCTCAGGTAATACAGCACACAGCCCTACAGGTGGGTGCCCAACTGATGACGTAACCAAATAGAAAATTCTTCTATGTATCTTTGAAATACAGTATTTAAAATTTAATTTCTTCCCATCCCTTACCTGCTTCTACATCACATTTACCTACATCATATGTTCACCCTTCAGGAAAACTGTCAAATAATTTTATCAAGACAAAAGAAAATTTAAAACATTGGGTTTTTGATTATAAACATGAAGTCTACATATTAACCTAGAAAAATGACATATGGTAATAAGTTAGCCTGCCCATCCTGAAATAGAACAGCCTCTTCATTTTTCCCATCTTAAATCACCTTGTACCAATCCCAATGTGAGAGAGAGAGAGCGCATTCTATATTCATTTAATAAATACTGAGCTCCTGTTGAATACTAGATAAGAGTAATGGGAACATTAAGCAAAACAACAAACTCCTAGGATAAAGGCCTAGCTCAAAATTCCCAACTTCTGGAGCCACTGAGACAAGCAGGAGGACAGACAGCAAACTCCCTGCCTGAGCCTAAAGGCATTCTTACTCACTGGCCAGGCCGCCTGACCAAGGGAAGCACCCCACAGGAGCCCTAACTAAGGACAGTAACATGTTTCTGCTCCAGGAAGACAGTCAGCTTCCTCTAAAATGAAAGTCTACTCTTACAATTTCATATATTCAATCCGTAAACATTTTTAAGAACAGAGACAAATACATGACAGCCAATGGCAGGAGTAGATGCTCAAATACTTACTAATGGACAGTCTGACCTTTATATGCTAAAACTTCACAAATTAAATTCAATATAAACTCTTTGTTCTAGAAGTTTAAGCAATATAAAATATAGATTTTCTACATAAATAAAATGCCATTAATTTTCTACCTTTTAAGAAATAAGCTTGACCTATTTTTCAACCTGAAGTGTTAATTTCTGCCACTTGAAGATATTCCTAGGCCAAGCTTTGCTCTATCAGGTTAACTTACACACTAGGTTCTCCGTGATTCTATGTGTAGAAGGAACTTACAATGGGATCAGTCTGAGGAGGTACTTGTTCTGTTGGAAGCCTTTCATAGTCATATCGTCCCTCAGACCACATCGCATTTCTTCTGTCAGCCACTAAAGAAAAAAAACCCAAAAATATACAATTTTTAGTAAGAGAGAAGATAAACAAATGACTAATTTCCAACACAAATATTTTCCATACACCTCAAGTGGGGAAAAAAAGTATAAATGACCAAATAGGGAAAAGGTGATTGATTACAGCAATGTTTCTTCCAAACAAAATATTTACTTTAAAGAAAAAAAAAAAAGCCCAAGGCCCCACCTTCCTTCTATTTTCAAGGTAATTTAAAGCATCAAAAAATCATTCCCGGGACAGGGATTTAGCTCAGTGGTTTCGCTGCCTGCTGCACAAGTGCAAGGACGTGAGTTCAATCCCTGGTACCAAAAAAAAAAAAAAACAATCGTTCCCAACAATTATGGGAAGAAGAGCCAAAGACCACATGTGCTTCTCCATTCGCATATTAGGAAAAAAATGATTCCACTTATTGAACAGTTAATACGGTGGACTGGCAAAACTATTTCTATTTCCTGTTGAGTGGTTTATGTAACATTAGTTTTTTCTTTATCTGAATTCTTAGAGCTTATATCTCCTCTCTACAATAAAGGAGTTTTAACTGGAAAAAAGTATTAAATGAGCAATTCTATAATTATACAGCCAATGGAACCTAAAACAAATCACCATGATCCCTGGGAAAAAAAACACTTTTCATTGTGTTTTAATGCCATAAATTTATTTTAAAGCAAAGACATCCTGATAAATTTTGAAACTGTAGTGATGGTTAGAGGGGGGCACAGGCAGGGAATTAGGGCATGACCTGAGTGGCTGATAATTGTGTAGTTACCACAGGCTTACTGTGCACTATGGACTGGAAGAAGCTAGCTCTTCTTTTTTTTTTGGTACCGGGGATCGAACTTGGGTCCTTGCGCTTGCACAGCAGGCGGTGAAACCACTGAGCTAAATCCCCGGCCCCTAGCTCTTCTTAAATTATTACATGCATGCATGTATGCATGCCCCTAGTCCCCTGACCTTTTCCTTAAGCCAGGCACAAAGGCTAAGACCCTGATTGGCTTGGATTACACCAATCAGTGAAATAGTTATTTTTAGGGATAAGCTTACCCCTATAAGTATGAGCAGGGAAAAGATCACAGTTGACTTCCCCCTACCTTATTACAAGGTAGCTTTTTTCTGCATGGGCAACATCATAAATAAACCTTTGCTTCATATGACTTTCATTTCTGATTTCCCCATTTTCCGCCTAAGGCTTTTGGTTTTGAGCCAGCTTCACCCCACTTCTTCATTCTTTGCTGGAGTGAAGGCACGAACCCAGGGTGTGGGGTGGTGAGAGAGGGTGAGAGAGACTGAGAGAGACAGACACAGACACAGACACAGACATAGGGTTGTCTGACCTAACTCCCCAGAACACAGCCGGATGCTACAAAACTAAAATAAAATTTCTGTCAGCATTATTTCAGTTTGGAGAGACAGGAGGGTATACTCCTTTCATCAAGTAAGAAATACTTCCTCTTGAGAGCTGACACATTCAGGGTACAGGTAAATGTGGCACACTACAGAAACCAAGAGTACACAGCTGCAAGAACAGATAAAAACAGGAATCGTACAGGCCAAAGACAAGTGAACAATGCACACAGAGAGGAGAACAGGATGCGGAAGAGAGGTCATTCACACAGCACGGTAATTCGGTAGTCAGACCGGTCATCCTCTGCTGTAAGGGTCAAAATACTACTTTTGGCCTCTCTCCCAGTTGACAGCAGGGTGAGGCATCTCTTACTCTTATCTCTGAGAAGATGGCACAAGATACAAGGCTGCTTTTAGCTATAATATTAAGAATGCTAGCTTTAAAATATCTCATGAACTTTAAAAACAAAAAGCAAGCATCCTAATTCTGGAAGTTCCTAGTTTTGTACTTGGAAAAAAACGGTCTCATGTTCAAAAGTGATCCAGAAATCAAGGCAGCAATCCTTTCAATCTTCAAATTAAATTCACATGAAAGTTTGCAATGACTTTCCCTCAAAACTATAACGAGCATTTGAGTAAACTAAAGTAAAAAAAATTTTTAAAGGACATGAGAAACACGTTATGTAAACTATAAATCTATGAAATATTTTACCTTCAAAAAATAAACCTATGCTGGGCTACATGATGTTATGTCTTCAGTTAGTTACTTGGGGAGACACAAGAGGGTGGTTTAAGCTCAGAAGTTTGAAGCTACCCTGGGCAATAAAGCAAGACCCTGCTGTGAATGAATGAACGAATGAATGAATGAATGAATGAATGAAAAAGAAAAAGAGGATGAGGAGACCACTCTTCTAATCAGGCATACTGCTCTACCACTTGACATGAAATTCAAAGTTTAGAAGAATGGCTACATTAAACAGACGAGGCCCCTTCAAATGCTGCAGAGATCTCGTGAAGTAACTTACTACTACATTGCAGAAATAAGACTGTGTATATAGGTCTCTCCTGATCTTGTCCCAGCAGTTTGCAAACTAACACAGTACTGTATTATTGCAATAACCTCAATAACTTAATTATGTACTTTAAGAATGAATGCATAGGGCCGGGGACTTAGCTCAGTGGTTTCACCGCCTACTGTGCAAGAGCGAGGACCCAAGTTCAATCCCCAGTACCAAAAAAAAAAAAAAAAGAATGAATACACAATTTGGAGCTTTTTAAAAAAGTACCACAGGGCCAGACATGGTGGCACACACTAGCAATCCCAGCACTCTGGAGGCTCAGGCAGGAGGATTGCCATGAGTTTGAGGCCAGACTGGGTGACACAGTGAGTTCATGCCCAGCCTGAGCTACATAGTAAGTTCAAGGCCAGTTTGAACTACATAGCCAGACTGTCTCAAAAAAAAAGTAAAAGAATATAATTTTGATGAAAACCTACCTACCAATAAAGTAGCTAGCATAAAGCAAAAAAAAACAAACCCCAAAACCAATATATTCACCTTTTAAATATCTCAATGTCATTTCACAAAATCTCCCAATTTTGCTATTTTTTCACAGTGTTAATCATTTATTTTTAATACATATCACTGATCTCTTAATACTAGAAAATACGAGATTAATGAAGGCTGGGTTTTCTATGTTGTTAGGTGATCATGCCTCTAGAACAATCTGCAATTGCTCTGAGGACATTATAAATGCTAAGAAAATGGTCACTGTAAAGGAAATGGCTGCACATTTCTACTTCCATCCTAACACCTTTCAAGAGAATGTCTTACAGATACCTGCAATTCAAAATCCCAGAACAATTCCTCATACTCCTCAGAAATCCACTTCATCTCCTGGCTTCCCTGTTGTTAAGGCTTGCATCTGGATGTCCCTCCAAGGCCTCCTGTGTTTAGGTGGGGCTTTTGAGAGGTGGCTGGATCAGGCGGGCATGATGCTGCATTAGGGCGTGTGGTACTGGGTTTAAGGGCATGGGATAATTAACCTGGTTTAGCATAGTTCAGGTGTAGCTAATGGAAGCCCCACGATGGGTATGGGTGACACCAATCAACAGGCTTGTAGCCTGGATGGAATACAAAGGGACAGAAAGAAAGCAGGCTTGCTACTTGCTACCTGTTGCCTGCTCTGCCATGTCCTTCTGCCATGCCACCCTGTCTTGGAACCAGCCAACTTTGGACTAATCTCTATGAACTGAGGCACAATAAACTTTCCCTTTTAGTTGTGGGCATGAAGGATTTTGTCACAGCAACGAAAACGTAATTAATGCACCTGTTCTGGTCAATGACACCAAGTTACCCAATGGCCCAAATCAGAAACCCGAGTCATAAAAAATCCAAAATTATTCGAGTCTAAATATTCACTAAATCCAGGTATTTCTATCCCTTTAATAGAGCGTACGTTTCTATAGTTACATTGCTGCTACTTGTTGAAACACAACAAGTGCGTAATACTAATTCAACTGGAAAATATTTAAAATTCTGGACAACTGAATCAAAAATAAACTTGAGACTACAACACCATTACGGTCTTCAGAAAAAAAAATTTAGCATTACTGCCAACTAAAATGGCCAAAATAAAGTACCGGTATCTCGCACTCCACACCTTCCTCTCGCCCAAAATTCACAGCGTCTCCTCACGCTGGAAGCGTCTAATCCCGCAATGGCAGGGCTGCTACGCGATTCCAATGCAACAGAATATTGCGCTTCGGCTACAGGAAGCGCCCTCCGGCTATGCCAAGGGCTCCAGCCCTCGCGCTAGTTCCATTACCTCTTGGGAAAGTAAAAGGCCTCGCCGACTTCGAGAGCCCGAACACCCAGCAAACGCAGCGTTCCCCAGACCCCGCGGCCACTATCAAAGGAGGCACTTCCGGCGCGCGGTGTGACGTCAAGAACGCGCCCGCCAGTGCGGCCCGACCGAAGGGAACCGCGCAGGGCCCCTCCGCTGCCGCGACCCAAGGGCTCTGCGCCGACCCCGCCCGGGCGCGGGATGCTCAGGCCGCTGCGAGGGTCGAGGAAAAGTCGGGGTTGAAGCCCCGCTGCGCCGGGGCCGCCGTCCCTGAAGGTAAACGCCTCCTTACCTGCGGCCCTTCCCCGACCCCGCAGCCCAGACCTTTCGCCCCTTTCCTCCTGTCAGCCTTTTGATTCTAGGACGACAGCCTTTACCTGCCGCGTACTTCTTTCCACGATGTCTAAATGCCGTCGCTAACAAGAAACTTACTACAGCGCCCTATGAGTGGCGTTCATGCTGTTTTCTAAATAACTTGCCTCGGTCACCAAACCTCAAAACAGTTTTTCCTTTACTTCGAGAACTGGCGGGACTTAGCACCGGATTTTGCTGTTTGTGATCGTCTGCTCCCCACCCTCGATGTACGCCACACCCGCGATTTACCTCGAAAATATGAACTTGGATTAATCCATGTACGGATCACAAGCACAACCAGGTGCACGCTTGGAATCCCAGAACTGGTGAGGCAGTGGCACAAGAAACTAGAGTTCAAGACCAGGCCGTGAACGTGGCTAAACCCTGTCTCAATTTTTTTTAAAAAAGAAGATGGACTATAGCTCAGTGGGAGAGCATTCCTGGGTTCTAGTCCCAGTACTGGAAAATGATAACAATTTTTATGGCTAATTTGCTTATGTTATGATATAAGGTGTGAAGATAAATTACAGGGTATGTAAAAATAAATGTATTTTTTTATCCCAGTATTTCTCAGCAGCAGCCCACGTGCCCAGCCCCAAGCTGTTGGCACTAACAGTGGCACCAGGTGGGAGAAGGACATGAATGCACACAGGGACAGAAACGGGAGCCTGTGGAATCAAGGAGGCTCTGGGGCAGACCACATTCTCTCAGTGAACAATATTGGAAATTATGCCCTAAAGAGAAGATTGTTCACTAAGAGAATTCACATAAAAGGAAGAGATATATCTCCCCACATATGCATAAATCTCAACATAGAAACAGAAAAAGTATGAAAAACTCAGTGTAACACACCCAAAGATTTATAAGTCTTCAGTACCTAAATTCAAAGATACCAAAATGGATGAAATGCCAAAAAATTCAAAAGGTTGATTTTACAAATGATCAATGGCCAAAAAGAATACAATTCAATGGATGAATGTATAAAGAAAATGTGGTATTCATGTACAATGGAGTGCTGTTCACCACACAGAAGAATGAAATCATGCCTCTTTTGAGGAAATGAATGGAAGTGGAGATCATCTTGTCAAGGAGCATAACTCCAGTTCAGAAAGACAAATACCACTTTTTCTTTTTTGGTTGGAATCTAGGCAGAATCTCTACATGAAAGTAGAAGGGAGACTATTAGAGAAGAGGGGGACCTTAGGAGAGGCAGAAGGGTTGTTAGGGGAAATATGATCAACTGTGTTATATGCATGTATTAAGATGTCATAATAAAACTCATTCTGTAAAATTAATACACACTAATAAAACAAGCAAAAATATCTCAGTATTCACCGAAATTATGTATAAAATCAAATGTATCCTTTTACAATTTGGGCAATAATTGAAAGGATTTGAAAGGTCTTTACATCATTGTCTTAATATTTTTGTCTGGACTGATGTGAACGAGAAATGCCTCACATTTCTGACAATCACAAAAGGTACCCAACAGAAGTGTTAGCAAGAGTTAGTGGCTGAATTTCTTTTTGATCCACCAGGCTCTTTCTGAAGTGGGTGAGCAAAGGCAAGGTATTGTACAGGTGTGAAAGCACTTTTTAGCTTTTAACTTCAGGGAAGTAGCTTCTGGGTTTCTCAATCTTTTTGAAGACTCCTCTCCTGACACAGACAGGGTTAAAGGACTGACAGGGTTAAAGAAGCTACTTGAAAGGAGGTCCATAAAAACTCTTTAGTGCTGGGAAAAGGGGAAGCCTTAATTCACCCAGATGGAGTGATTCTAACTGCTTAAACTAAGGAAGTTGTGTGCCCCGCCAAAATTAAATCAGTGATTGCCTGTATATTTGATTTGACTTGGAATGAGGAATACCTGCTTTAGAGTGCTTATGTGTTGGCTTGTTTTCCGTTTTAGAAATGAGTGGTGGCTTGGCTCCAAGTAAGAGCACAGTGTATGTGTCCAACTTGCCCTTCTCCCTGACAAATAACGACTTATACCGGGTAAGTTTTAATGTTAATACATTATTTATGTATGGAACCCTGTATTTGATATACAACATAACTTACCCACTTGTTCTGCCTGGGGAAATACCTGAATTATGGTGCACGTAAGCCACAAATATCAAAGACATCTTTTGAAAATATGAATAAGTAAAAAACACTGAAACTTGTAATTTCCAAAGAAAATT